ACTTCTTATGTACGTAACTCTATCTTATACTATACAAGTTACTGCAGTACTTAAACATGGTACTGCTTGCATATTGGCAGGGTGCACAGTATAAAGTAAGGATAACTAAATCGACTGCAGTGCTTGCTGCAAATAAAATTTTGTTAAATCATTCCCACGTTGAGGATTAACTAGTGATAATAAGTGAACAGTTATATTTGTTATATTAAAAATAGCGCGTAATACAGTAGAGTGTTCGAAAAATAAAGTTTTAGTTCTTTTTTTTTTATTTGAAAAAGATTAAAAAGTTAGAGTATATCTAGACAGAGACCCTGTTAAAGTATGAGCTCTTAATATTAATATTTATTGATGACGACTTAAAATTTTTTTACTTCCCATTGAAATGGCGTAGGAAAAATTTATTTTTTAACTTTGGAAATTTGTAACTCGACAAAAATTGCTTCACAGTAATGATCAAAGCGTATTTTTCAAGGGAATTGAATGCATTTCCAAAAAACATCTGCATAAAAATTTGCATAATTCTAAAGTTTAAAAATAAACTTTTCCTATGTTTTTAATGAAAAATAGAAAAATTTGTAAATCGTCACTTTTAACTGTTGATATTAAAAATTTATACTTTAACAGGGTTTTTTATCTAGCGATACTTCGATATTTTTTCAATGTTTTTCAAAAAAAAAAAATAAAATAAAATAAAAACGATTTCTTCTAAACATTCTAACAATACACTACTGAAAAAATTAAAGGATAAAGAAAAATTCAGAAATTTTTCAATGATTGTTTTCAGGCTGTATTTGAGTAAAAAATGGTCACTTTAGAATTTTAAGATAAGGATTTTGAAGTTTCAAAATTCTAGTTTTTATATCTTCTAAAGTCTAGAGTCTACAGGCTTCACGGAAAAAAGTAAACTGTAATAAATACCAGTCGATTTATAATAAGTAATGATCAACTGCTAAAAATTACCATTTCAAACAGTAAAATCATGATTTGACTATTCACATTGTAATATTTACAATTTACTCTTTACATGGAAGAAAATACTATTTCAAACAGTAATATTCGCTATGTGAATGTCTAAAATGTTAAAGTATAATAATTAAGAAATCAGACTTTGATATTTATCATTTCGTACCTAAAAAATGATGTTATGATATGTAAAAAGTATAAAATAAAGTTATAGTAAATTTCTAATACAAGCAACCTCAATATTTACAAAGTAAAATGGTAAATTTTAAACGCAACGCTAAAAATCAAACTGTAATTATTGACTTGCTTAGACTGGTAAAATGTATATTTTAAAAGTATAATTTTTACTGTTTGAAGTGTTAAATTCTCCCAGAGTGAAACCCCCTTCCCTTTCATCTGAGTTCCCCTTCTCTTCATAATATGGACTATATATTGAAATGGCAATTTTTACTGTTTGAAACTGTAATTTTTAAAGATGAAAGAGTCGTTATTTACTATAGTGACAACTACTAATCACTTATTTTGGATATTAAATTATAAATTGTGGCTTTTATACTTTCTACATTAAGTTCTGTAATATTTACATTTTTGCCACCCCGATGTCCGCTTTACTGTTTAAAACTATAAAAACTAACCGGAATCCGAGTGAATATTACAGTTTACTTTTTTCCGTGTTGGAACAATTTTTTTTTAGCTTAATTACTATAACGACCAGATAGTCTGTTTATTAGACGTCAATTCTCGGTTTTTATTTTTTTTTCTTCGTCTAATTCTTGCAGAGATATCCGATTTTGAACGAAAAAGGATTTTGTTTCGTTTAACCACTGATATCTCAGAAATCAATTGTCACACAGAAAATGTAAATATGGTTTTGAAAATTAGAATAAATCTATTATAAGAAATCATCACGATCATTAGGGAAAATATTTCCATCCTCGAAATAGATTAAAAAAAAGAAAACAGGAAAACAGGCCAATTTATGATTTTTAGGTAGATTTCGTTAGGAATCTAACTACTGCATGAGTCTTCATGGTGGAATTTTCACCTGATTTTGCTATTATATCATAATTAGTCAAGTAAGTTCCAAAAATATCATTGGTGAAAAAATTTATAAGTGTAATATAACAACCGACCTTTTCATCAGGATATCTGCAAAAGTTTTCAACCGATCTTGATGAAACTTGGTAAACATATTATTTAGATAATTAACTTGAACGAGTTCGAAGATGAGCAAAATCGGTCAATCAGTTCAGAAATGGCGGCCATTTAAAATTTTCAAAATAGTGAAAATCACGTTTTTGTGGCTTCATTGATGAATAACTTTCGATTGAAAAAAGATAGCTAATTTTCGAAAAATTCATGTAAAAGCTCATGAAATTGCCTTTGATTTGATGTACATAACATTAACTTTTTTTTTTTGTTATTTTCGATATTATAACTAAAATTAAATATTAAATAGTATTTTTAGACAAATTTTGCTCATCTTCGAACTAGTTTCTGATAATTATCCAAATAGTAAAGACACCAAGAAAACTTTTGCAGAACTTCTTTATTGTAATTAATTTAGAAATTTGGTTTTCAACAAATTATAATAGCGAAAATAAAGAGAATTTTATATCAAATGAAATCTACCTTCCATTTCGGGTAAGGCCGAATGGCATTTTTTTTAAAAAATCAGCGGCTAAATTACAAATAAACAGAAATGTTAAGCGTGACTTTTGCAGTTCAATGTACCCACATATACCCTGTAAAACACCAATTGGATTTATAGAACCGTTTTTTTGTTATAACTAATCATACTTTTGTAAAAAATTAAACGGTTACATTTATTATCCCTTAATCCTTCACAATTATGATCGAAATAAAAAAAAACTTTTCAAATTTTTTTGACATTCTTGCGACGAACAACATTCAAATTTATAAAAGTAAAAAGCAAATTTTTTTTTAAACGAGGTCTGAATGATCAAAAAAACAGTGGCCAATTCTTTTTATCAAGTTTTTTGTTTCTTAACCACGGAATTAACGTTAACCAAAGCGTACCACGTGGAGGTTGCGAAGTCAAGTTTACGATTTTTTCATACTCATGTGTTTTTCTGTCTTTAAATTGATTATTGCACTTTTTTACGTCAACTATAATAAATTTTTAATTTTTTCATTTATTACTCTTTATACAGACCTTTTTATCTCTTTTACGATTCTAGAACATGATTTAACGTAGTTGTCAGATGTCGTTTTCGTCATACTCCCTGCCAATAGCTTACAACGTTTGGTAACAACGATGCGAATAGCTATCTCAGAATACTAATACTTGTCTGAATTTCACACTACTTTTTTTATTCATCTTAATAGAAATTTACTTGTCCTCTTTCGTTTCCAACGATATTTTCCTCATTTAAAGTCAATTTTATTATCAATCTTCTGATCCACACTATATTTTTCATTATTGCTATTATTACTATAATTCTACTTATTATTATTATTACCACCATTCTTACTGATATTATAATAACATAGTACTATTTTCTCCATACAAAATTATTTATAAACCAACTACACTGACTAAATTGTGGCATATGGACGTTACCAGTTTGACTAGACATCTTCGTTATTTCGCTTTTTTTTATAGCAATACTTAAAAACTACTGGACGTTTGTTAATTACCGTTAATCACTTACTCTGGCACTTTCTATCTAATTTTATTTTTTAAAACTATTTCTTTTTTTTTCTTTTTTAAATATTATAGATCACCATCAGGCACAAAATTCTTAATTATTCACTCATACTTCTAGTATAAACCATAAGATTGGATATATTATATATGTACTTTAAAGCATCGTTTTCTATTTCGTTCGTTAGATTTATAGATTTGAATTTTAACTCAATTTCATGCACAATCACAAAAATTATTTCGTTTAAATTCTATTATCGGTTAACAGTGTTAAATCCAAAGTATATTTTAAATTATCCATTTTTGTTCTATTAATGATGTTCTCAAAATCAATCAATTATTCTAATTGAATAATCATAATATTTTACCAACATTTGAGTAAATATTTTTGTTCTATGAATAATCGATGCAGAATTATATTGGCGTTTTAAAAAATTATAAAATGGTAGTTTTTCTTTTTTGTTTTACTGATTCGGATACTAATGACGTAAATACTGATCTTTAAATTTTGCTAGACATTAAATTAAACATATTTTCTTGTTTGTTGTCACTATTATTAAAATTTATCGACGTAGTTACAGGAAACTATTATTCTAAACGAATAAGTATTCAACGTGATTATTCTCTTTAACCCTTTAATGTTCTGGAAGCGCAAAGAATATCGGTGTGAGATGTTAGGGGAGAGAGCCAATCATAGTCCGTTATGCGGTTGTGTGAGAGACGGTTGAGTTGTAGTAGTGTGTCTATGCGTCCCTTTCTACTATTTTTCGAGTCCCCTCTCTAGGAAAAAGACTGTAGCTCTCTCACTTATAGAAAAAAACATATGACTCAAATTGAGAGTGGGGATTCAAGGCCGACCATTAAAGGGTTAATTGGAGTATTAAATAAATTGGTTTCAATTTTATGAGATTCGATTCTAACGTTGAATCTATCAATTTTTGAAATGTTTCTTTATATTATCTCCACATTCCAGCCAATTTTTTTTATATACATAAGAGTGCTGCATTCTGTTAAACAAAAATTTTGGAGCTAGAAATAATATTCGAATTTAGCATTTCATAATTTGTTTGGATTTACAAACGTTCACTTTTTGCAAACTGGCACTTTACTACTTAATCTATAGTTACAATTTTCCCAAGCAGGCACCGATCAAAATTTACTTAGATTATCAGGCGTATTAATGTTTTTTTTTCTAAAATACTAAACTTTCGTTAAAATTAATAGTAATCTTAGCGCAAATGCTTACACATTTGATAAAACAGCATTTTCTCAAAACTAGATTCTACGAAATATTCAGCAGCAGTCAAAGCTTTTCAGCCTCTAATTGAGATCGATGAGTCGTTACAGTTGTTTTTTCTTCATATTGTTATAAGCCTCGGTTTAGTTGTGGAGATCGTTCTTCATCACAAAGAATTTGATCTGATGAGTATACATGCATTTCTTCATCTCTTAAGCAAGCTGACTCTGAGTGTTTATTTAAATATGATTTTAATGCAAACGTCTTATGACATCTGGAACACTCATAGTTTTTATCTGAAGAGTGAGTTTGCATATGTGCACGAAGATTCGATCTGTCTGCAAACGCTTTACCACAGTGAGCACATCCATATGGTTTTTCACCGGTATGACTTCGAAGATGTCCTTGAAGTAACCACGGTCTAGAAAACATTTTACCACAAATACCACAGCTATGAGTAAGCTTATGAGTGAGAACATGCATTGCTAAAGCAGGCATGCTCACGTAAGCTTTGCCACAATGAATACACTTCTTCGCTGATTGAGAATCAAGACTTCGATGTGTTTGCTTATGTCGGGAGAGATTAGACGATGTAGCATATTGCTTACCACATTCTGTGCAAGTAAATTTAGGTTTATCTGATTGAATCGTTTCTTTTTCTGGTACTGTCACACTATTGGAACGCCGCTTAGATCTTCCATCTGATACGAAAAAAGCTTCATATGTATAAGCAACAGTTTTATTATTTCTCAAATTGTTGTTATTAACAATATTATTTGGATATAGTTTATCGTTATCAGAAGGTAGAGAATCTGAATTGCGATCTTGTTTATTGGAAACATTATGTGATGGGACGGGTAATTGTACGGAAACTGGAATTGGTGTTGGTTCAGAAGGTGACGTATTCGATTGGATTGATGAATTAGAAGATGCCGGTGGCAGTGAGAGACTATGTAAAAATACTGAATTACTTGCTGTTATCGGTGATGCACTCAAATCCAAAATTGCTTGTGCAGCTGATAGCTCCTCTTCAGGAGAAGTTCGTAGAACCTCCATATTCGTTTGCAAGCTGTAAGGACGATAGATATCCTTTTTTTTAGGTGGAAGGGAGAGCGCAGCTCCAGTACTTGTGAAACACATTGATAAACTTTTCGTACGGGATTGAACACGAGATACATTTTGCAGTGGTGACAAAGGACTGGTAGATTGATGTTGCTGATCATAATATTCAGATGAAGACTCTGAAGTTGGTTCAGCCAGTTCTGCTGCCGATCGTAACGTCGCATACTTAGGTGGTTCATCGTGATTCAACCAAGTTTCATGATTATAACCTGAGAACAAATATATGATAGATTGGTATTTTTATAAAATATATAATAATCTTTGTTTGGGATAAAATAATTTGTTTTTTAAAAAAAAGTGTAGAGTTGAAATAATCAATTGATTTAAGTCACTTTATTGATCTATCAAGTAAACTAATCCAGAAAACCATACTTTTCGGGAGTTATATATAAGTATGAAAATATTTCAAAAATTTTTAAAATGAGACAAATAATACATAAATTCGTATGGTAATGGTATTTTGATGATGGTGACGTGAGTTTACGATTTCGTCTTTTATATGTGTTGCCATAACCAATGGTCTGTCTTCTCCCCTACCTAACTTTCTAATCGGTTCACTATCAATAGTTCAAAGGATGAGTAGGCGTGCCCTTATTCATGTAATAAGTGGTGATCACTCGGTTTCTTTTACCAAATTGCACATAAGTACACTGTCCATGACATAATCAGTTTTATAGACACGGCTGTCCATTAGCTACCCAAATAATTAACCGAATGGGTGCTTTATAATGACTTGTAACCATTATCTTATTCGAAATATATTTAATTAATCTTATTGATACTCGTTTGCATAAATTTATCCTATTCTGTTGATCTATCTCGATGCTTAGGCAATATTTTAGGTCTCGAAGGTCCTTGATATCATAAAGGGAAAACACTTACTATTTTATATCGATGCTAAAAACATATGAATTCAACGTCATCAGCTACAATCCTAATTTTTTCAATATACTGTGCAATTGATTGCATTAAGGTATTACTCTCGCGACTTCCGTCGTCAAAAGTTTATGCTAGAGTGTACGGTACACATACTGGATAGTCATTATTGATAAGCCTAAAACTTTTTGCTGTTTGTGTACTTATTTCAGCCAATCACGAACGAGAAACTGATCGTTTGAAAAGTCTGGCAACACTGCGTGAGCGTTGAAATATTTTATAGTGATTATACTGTAGTGTTTTGGACTAACTGTAGATTGACCTCTGTTTTGACACATGCGTTTATTTATTTATTTACATACATTTATTCAGAAATATAATTACAATGTCTGAAAAATTGACTTATAAAGGGTGATTCATAAAAAAAGTCCTTGAAAAACGATAGAAATTTCTAGTAAATATGAAAATAACTATGCAAATAACAAATAGAAAAAAAAAATGACAATATTGTTTTGTTTCTTCAGAAAAATCAGTAACTAATTTTTTTATGTTGATGTCCCGAGAAAAAATATTTATATATAATTATATATATTTATATATAAGTTGGTTATATATGATTATATATGAAAAATGGCCAAATATAATCATATATAATTATATACAATCATATATAATTATAATGAAAATTATCAGGAACTTGGACTATAAAAAATAACTCAGTGTCAAATTTTTTAAATGTTGCAACGTTTCGTTGTATTTCACAACTTCATCAGGCAAACTGTACAAAAGAAAACACATTGTTAATAACAATATGACAAGGATAACAAAAAGATCTAGTGTAGATAGGAAACGGACACAATTTTGGAATTTTTTTTAATGTTAGAATACCAAATCCAATATCTGATTCTTCAGGAGGATAAATGCGTCTTCCACGTGTATTTTGTTCTTCTGGTAATGGACAACTAAGAACCATTTTTATATGATACAAGTATGTGGGAACTCCAACTGTAGGGCGGCAATCAGTCAATGCTTCAGCTATCTGAAATAAATATTAGAAATATTTTTAATTTTGCTGTGAAAATAAAATAAAAAACGGCTGGTTGTTAACCGAAATCTAAATACATTCAAAGTGACAATGTCAAGATTAGAGCAATAATAAAATTCTATTATGAAAGTTGAATAAGTTTATTTTAGAAACCTTCAGATGCATTTCACGGAAATTTAAAAATTGAACATATTTAAACGCTATTCTAGAAAGATATAATAAATAATTTGAATATTAAATATCAGTTAATTTTAATAGGTTTTTAGATATTGCTTAAAAAAAACTAATACAACAAATATACCTTTTTATAATAATATTGTCGACGTTTTGTTGTACCAGGTCGCGCTTCAGAGAGATCAGATTGACTTTCATCAGGTAACGCTGGAACTTCTGCATCTTCTGGTCTGGCTTTAAAATTTTCTTTTCCAATGGGCATTAGATTATCATCAATTTCATTTTCTTTATGTAATTTTATACATAATTGTAAAGCTGCTAAACGTCTAGCCATAGCTCTGTTGGGCATCGGGTGAGAAGTTATAACGGATTTCACCGGAGAGTTTATAGGTAATCTTAAGGAGCATTGGTAATGTAAGTTATTATGAATAATAATTTCATTTGTTGACCAGTCTGGTGTCAGTCGTGTAAATGTGTCACTAGGTAATTTAGCACAATACCTACAGAACAGAAAATTTATTTCAATAGAAAAAATTTACTAAAATAAGAAAAAATTGGAAAAAAATTAAATTACCTATTTATTAACGATATTGCTGAATTAAATGTTACAATCGCTCCAGTTTCAGTTTGCAATGGTTGATACGATGGAATTAAATCTGAATATAAATCAGCTTCAATTTCCTCCTTTTCCATCGGTTCATTATTAGTACATTTTTGAAGTAAAATCTAACAATAAAAAATGATTATTATAATGAACGATCATGATCATTAGCAATAATAATTATTAAGAATTTTTTTATACTTCTTCAACATAGTGGTATTGTGATAGCTTCCAAATATACTCTTTAGAATTTGAATTTTCTACTAAGAGTACATGTAAAGCATCTGCAGCTTTCGCTCTACTTTTAGCTTGAACATATGATCGATAACTCTTAGGAATATCATATCGCATCACAAAATTACATTTTGGAATTTCAATTCCTATAATTAAATTACATAAGTAAATTTACAACGACAATAATTATCATGTTATTTTACGGTAATAGTTTAACAGTGTAATTAAAAAAAAAAAAAAATAATAAATAAAAAAGTGGTTATAATGTACGTTATAGTTATTTAAAAAATCGATAAAATTTTTTCGATCATTTAATCTCAAAGTGACGTCAGATTCAATGAAGAAAAATTTATGTAATTATAAATAATTGTTAAAACAAACTGAATTTTGTTAAGAGCACTATATGGTATTTCTTTACTTATTTTCCTCAATATAGTTATGTATAATTGAACTTGTTATATTTCATAATACAAGTCAATTCTGATATTTGGCAACTAATTGTTGGATATTATATAAATTCATTGATATTTAATCCCGGAAAAAATAGACATTGAAAAAATAATCCCAAAAGAACCAAGTCTCAATCATATTTTTATCTGGGGGAAGGGGGGGGGGCTGTTTTTCTTTCTAACATTTTCTAACTGGAAGTAAAACAATATAAGTATGACTAATTTACTTTCAAAATCAACCATTAGATGGGAAATTAATTGATGATTTCCTTTTATTTATTTTATTTTTTCATTTTTTTATTAGTCAAATATTTTCTAGATTTATTGTTCCGAGTATATTATTTCCAAGTCTATTTTTTCCGATTACCTTGATATTATATTGAGCTGATATTTTCAAATATATTAGGAACACCAATTTCGATTATTTTTATAGATACCTTTGTTAACCTTAAAATTCTTTAACTATTGAAGATTACCTTCTTCTAAAATTGACGTTGCAACAAGTAAATTGCACTCATGAATTCTGAAACGTTTTAAAACTTCTTCTTGTTTCCGATATTCTGTTTCAGGATCTCGAAAGTGAGACACTTCATCATAAGTTCTCTCAGTTGTGTAAAGAGGTGATAAAAAATTCAAGTCATCATCACATTTAGCAATTTCCTATTAAGTAGTTTAAATAAAAATTAATAAAAATATTAAGAATATTTCATTTTTGAAATTTTATATTTAAGGAATTCATACTTACATATAATAAGTTAAACAAAACTTTGGCAGTAAATCTTTTATCCACAAATATTATACCACATAAAAGGTCAGGGTCTGTGACATTACGATGAGGTCGTGGAAATTTAGGTGTTTTCATTTTATCATTTGTTTTGTAAAAGTCTTTGGAAATAATTTTTGTAGTATTCTGATCTTGAACTTTGCTCAAGTTTCTATTAATGTTATCTGAAATAGAAATAAAACCAATTAAAATAAAATAACTTGGATTCTATTCGAATATAATTAACTAATTAATAAATTAAAAAATAATGTGTAAATATCTTACATTTATTAATATTATTGCATCTTTTGTTATTTTTATCATAAAGAGATGTAAAAGTTTTAAGTGTTTCTAGTAAACGATGGACTTTAGGTGTTGAAAAATTCCAAATTTTATTTTTTTCTGGAATGTTTCGAAATTCATAATCGCATATTGCACGAATTTTAATCATAACAGAGGCTATCATATTGAGCAATAGATAATGACGTTCATACGGTGTTTTAATTTTAAGTTTTTCAGCTAGAGCTAAAAGAGATAAAGCAGCACGATCTGCACACCATGATCCCAAAGTTTCAAGTATAGTTAAAAGATCTTGTAACATTTCACGTGGTTTTTCTGTTGGATCAGGAATTTTTTGAATATCTTCGAGAAATTCATCTTGATAAATTTCCGTTGGATCATACCGGTGATCGTCTAAAAAATTCATTGCATCCATTATTACTTCTTCGATTTTAATATGTAATTTTTCCTTCGTCCCGGTTTTAAATTCAACAATATACTCTTTTGGTTTAGAGCTATACCTGAAACATTAATTTATTTATCTAAGTACATAGTTCCAAAGAGAATAAATAATAATTTCTAATATGCCAAAATCAGTTAACTATAAAACTGTTCTCTATTATTTTTGTCAACTTTGATTCAAAATTAAAACAAAAAAAATTCTACTCAATTCATTGGAAAATCTTTTTCATCAAATTCCAACATAATTTTTTTTTTTTTAATTTAAAAAACAAGTTGTATACACATATTTATTCGGCATAAAAAAAATTATTTAGATTTTTTTTTTTTATATTTTTCTCACCTTAATATTGATAGTATGTCACTAGTTGTTTCAACATCACATTGAAAAGTGGACTCGAGTCGTTCTATTTCTAAACTCAATCGCCCAGGTTCTTCAGTTAATCCAAAGAGAGGAACAGCTAGTCCAATAAATCTACATAGTTTATTCCTGCTTGAACTCACCATTTTCAATGCTTTCTTAAGCTCGATATTTGTTAGCAACAATTGACATTGTTCAATTATAATCAAATTTATTTGTAAGTCCAATTTATTTTTTCTTAATAAATCATGAAATAGTTCACTCGTTGTTACAATAACCTGTGAAGTAAGTCAATTTTGTTTTAAAATGAATTGATATCAGAATGTAAAAAAATGTAAGTATTTCTTACATGAACATTAAAAAAGTTATCGAGGAATGTATCACTTTCAATATTTGGTGTTCCAATACAAACTTTCAAGTCTGTTAATTGCTCAATATATTGCGCTTTCAACAGACATACTTCATAACTACTAAGAATATAAACAATTTTTTTACTCTTTGTGTTAAAGCTGAAATAAAAAATAATAAAAAATTAAGATTTTACATTTGACAAACTTTAGTTTTATCTAAAGACATTAATGCTAAGAAAATATTTTTGAAAAATTGCATTCATAGTTTTTTAGAATTTTTTAGTTTAAGATTTTTTTTCCACAATTTATTTGGTGAAAAAAATTTAAAAAATTATTAAACGTTTGTTACTTTTAGTATAATATCATATAAGATTAATAAAAATAATGTAAAATTATTTTTGTTTACTTTCGATTGCCGGTCACAAATTCCTGAATTAATTTAGTTGTTATAAATGTTTGCTCGGTGTACCTTCCTAAACAAATGATTACATTCTTTTGTTTAGCAGCATATAGTAATTCTACCTGTAGATTAAAGAAGAGAAAAATTAATGGTATAGTTAACACACAAAGATTATTATTGTTTTGATTATTAACAATTATTATCTGTTTCTAAAAACCAATAACAAACCTGATATTCTTTTGGAGTAAAAGATTTAGTGTGCACTAAATCGTTAAATGGATATGCCATTGAAATTATTTGAAGAATATAAACTACGATATTAAATTTAGTAAAAAATTTTAATTTAATGATAGTTTAATAATTTCATTTATAAATTTTTTTAAACGATGATTCTTTCACAGAGGTTATACATTAGAAATTTCATTAGCATGATAATCTATAATAAGACATCTTTGAATTTCATTACTCATAAAACCATTTAATATGTAATACTGAAAGAAAATAAGAAAAAAAACACCACACAATTTTTACATTTTATCATAGATTAACAGTATATTTGTAAGTACAATTTTTGAGATGGATCTTCAATGTTCATTTGTTTTTGTTTATTTACACGCATTTTTCATTTCAAATTCTGTGATTACTACAGCTTTGGGTGGTACTGTGGTGCTGCCTAGCGGTGCCTTTTTTACGGAAGCCCGGTGGGGACATCAGTTGTTATAATACCTCAGTACAATAAGAGACAATAATTTATGCCTGCTCGTGTTGCTTTGGTATCGATGAAAGTTTGGATTTATGAAAATTTGTCCAAATAAATATGAAAGTTTGTAAAAATGCTGATGAATATAAATGAATAAAAGCACAGAAAAATTTACGTATAATTGTATATAAATACAAATGATTCTATGTAAACTAGATCATCTGTTCAATTTTACAGTTGTTCATATGACCAACTGAACAAATAAAATTCCCTATTTTTAAAAATACGTACAACTAATAATATGTTTATTTGATTTCAATTCCAAAAGTATAAATTGAAAAATGAACATAACTATAAATGAAAATTTATAAATTTACTAGTTAATAAAAAATATCATTTTAATAAATGATTAATAATACAAGTGTATACAAAAATAAATGATACATTCACTTAATGAACTTATGTATTTAAAAAGATAGATCCGGATGTAAAAAAACTATTATAATTATTTGAACAAAAGAAATTGCGGATAAATAATCGTAATGAATAAATGTAGAAATGATTTTATGAATAAACGACATTATGATCATTAGTATTTTTAAGGTTGTGTATTTATACATTTATTTATTTATAAATTTATTTATAAATAAACATTTGTAAACATGATGATCGGTACAAATGAAAGTTGTCCGAATGGATATTTGAATAAATGAAATTCTATCCAAATAAATCAATAAAAATGAACATCTGCATTAAAGTTAATCAGTAAAAATGAATATTTGTCCAGAAGTTAAACTGTCAAAATGAATATTTGTCTAGAAGTTAAACTGTCAAAATGAATATCCGTTAAAAAGAAGATTTCCACGAAATTTATATATTCTTATAATTTTATAAGCATGTTGCAACCTATTAAGAACGAACAGGCGCAAGTTCTATTGTAGATCTCACTTTCGTCAGTGGCAGCCTCACCAGAGGTAATATCAACTGGAAGGTGATGGATACCTACACAGCCAGCGACCACAACGCGATTCTCTGGGAAATATTAAACGCCCAGAGCCCGAGAAGACCTAAAGAGCAACTTAACACCATTGGCTGGAAGGTAAAAACTCTTGACCCAAGTGCATTGTTAGTAGCTCTCAATAGTGGCAGATTATCGCGGGCTGCGCAGAAGAGAAGACTAAGGACCTGATGAAAAGAGTGACCCAGGCGTGCGACGCCAGTATGTCTCGTAGACGTGGCATGAACACAAGACCTTCCGTTCACTGGTGGAACGACCACATCAGCGCCCTTCGTAAAGAGTGTCATCAAAAGAGAAGAATATCTTAGCGTGGCTACCGACGAACTAACTCTGTGGAACTGGTTGCAGAGTACAAAAAAGCCCGTCGATCCCTGAACAAAGCCATCAAAGATAGCAAAAGAAAATGCTGGAAGGAGCTCATCAACGAGGTGGACAGAGATCTGTGGGGTCGGCCGTATAAGGTGGTTATGACCCATCTTAAAAACCAGCTAATGCCATCACCCACGTGTCCTCAACTCCTACAGAAGATCGTAAACGCGTTGTTCCCCGGACAAAGCAAGTTTAACTACCTAGTAGCGCAGAATGAAATGGATGACATTCCATTTGTCACGGAGGAAGAACTGATGGAGGCTTGTAATCGTGTAGGGAACAATAAAGCGCCGGGATTGGACGGGGTCCCCAATATTGCCTTAAAAACAACTATAAAAGCAGTGCCATCATTGTTCCTGGACGTCTACGACACATGCCTCAAGGAAGGGATTTTCCCTCGGAAGTGGAAGCAGCAACGACTAGTACTACTTCCAAAAGGAAAAAAGCCACCAGAGGAACCGTCATCTTATCGACCACTTTGTATGTTAGACACGGCAGGTAAGATACTTGAGCGTATAATCCACCAAATAATAGAAGCAGTTGTCGATCCACTCTTGGCAGATAACCAGTATGGTTTTCGGAAAGGACGATCAACCCTGGACGCAATCAACCTGGTTGTTGCAACGGCCAAGGAGGCAATCGAAGGGATCAGATGGAAGGGTGGAGCGAAGAAGTACTGCCTGGTGGCCGATCCTGAAGAAGACAATTCAACCAGAGTCAATCGTAGAAGCAATGCTGTCTTCAGAAGCTGCCTGGAATGCAACGAACACTTTTGCCACAGAAGTGCTTACAGAGCTGCGTTCCATCGAGAGAAAAAGAGCAAAAGACAGAATCTAGAAGGAAGATAACATCTTAGCCGCCAGAAGGAAGAGCGGCAGCTAATTCCTCCCCCCGCGAAGAAATGCCTTACGGCGGTACCATGGGGGATCAGAGGATAGAAAAGAAAGGGGTTTAGGGTTTAGTGGGTAGGAGCGTCAGCGTAAAGTTTTTAGTATGACGCTGCGTCGAGTCGCCACATATCCGGGCCAACATCTATGCCTAGAATCCGTAAAAAGGATTCCCCCCCCCCCTAAAGGGGAAAAAAAACACACAAACACACACACACACCCCAAGCCAGGACGAGTATTCAAAAGAGTATAAGCAGGCCAAAAAGACGCTAAACCGAGGCATCAAAGCAAGTAAAGCGAAGTTGTGGAAAGAGATCTGCAATGATCTCGACAATGACCTCTGGGGTAAAGCCTACCAAATTGTCGCCAAACGGCTTGGAAAGGCTTCACCAGAGGCGCCGAAGTCTCCTGCCATGATGGACACTATTGTAGCGGAGCTTTTTCCCAAACACCTGCCGCGGGAAAAGAAACACTACACTAAGAACAGCGAAGTAACACCCTTCACAACTAAGGAACTACAAGACGCGGCCAAGTCACTCAAAACAGGAAAGGCACCTAGACTTGATGGCATCCCGGCATCGGTGATCAAGATTGTAGCCCTGGAATACCCAGACATACTGCTGAACACCTACAATGCATGCTTGGCAACTGGCACGTTTCCCACGGTCTGGAAACGGCAGAGATTGGTTCTCTTAGACAAAGGTAAGGGAACCCCCATAACACCTTCGTCGTTTAGACCACTCTGTATGCTGGATATTGCTGGAAAACTGCTCGAGAAGCTCATACAAGGGAGACTTCGCAACGACATAGACCGTGCTGGAGGTTTTGCCGCGAACCGACATGGCTTCCGGAAAGGACGTTCAACAGTAGGCGCGATACAGAAAGTCGTAAGGATAGCGAGAGAAGCATGGACTGGTAGCCTCAAAGCCCGCAAGGTGTGTCTTGTCCTCACGCTAGACATTAGAAATGCCTTTAACAGCGTAAATTGGAGAGATATTTTGGACGCCCTGGAGCACAGATTTGACGTAGAACCGGAGAATCTGGCACTAGTTGACAACTACCTTGACGAAAGAAAGCTAATAGCAGAAACCACGGAAGGCCCACAAGAATACGCCATAACGGCTGGCGTGCTGCAAGGCTCAATAATGGGGCCCGATCTATGGAACGCGGACTACGACGAGCTTCTTGAAATCCCGTTGCCATAGCAAGTGGAGCTAACGGGCTTTGCAGACGACGTCGCGGCCACGATAATAGTAGACAGCGTAGAGGAGGCCGAACTACTAGTTCGGGAAACCATTGATGCTGTCGAGACTTGGCTCGATAAACACCACCTGAAACTCGCCAAACAGAAAACCGAGATGGTCGTTTTGACACGTCAAAAATGGTTCCCAAAACCATTCGCTGTGGACTCGGGAGGAACAACACTCACGTCAACAAGGGCCCTGCGCTATCTAGGGGTAATGATAGACGAGAAACTATCTTTCCGTGAACACCTCGACAGTGCATGCAAGAAAGCCAGCAAGACTGTGTCTAGCCTAGCACGAATTATGACCAACACCATGGGACCAAAAACAAAAAAGAGAAGAGTTCTTCTAGAAGCAGTCCACTCGGTACTGCTTTATGGAGCGGAGATATGGGCAGACATATTAAAGCAGAAGACCTACCGGCGAAAGATAGCAGCAGTACAGCGGCGAGGCGCTCTCAGGGTTGCCTGCGCCTACCGCACAGTTTCAGAAGCGGCTGTATTGGTCATTGCGGGAGCCGTGCCCATCGACCTATTAGCGTTCGAAAGAGCAAAACTCTACGACGCTAAAATCGGCGGCGAAAACATAAAAGAGGCAAAAACGAGGATAAAAACGGAAACGCAGCAAGAGTGGCAGGACCGATGGACGTCGGGAGAGACAGGCAGATGGACAGCGCGACTGATCCCAAACATCAACGCCTGGCTCTCTCGGAAACACGGGGACACGGATTTTTTCCTGACCCAACTACTGACAGGACATGGACAGTACAACGCCTATCTCTTCAAGATGGGTCTACACAACACACCAACATGCAAATACTGCCCGGATAAAATCGACGACGCCGAACACACATTCTTTGAGTGTGCTCGGTGGAAGGACTACAGAAGAAGCACCGAAGAGATCATTGGCACCAGGCTCTCCCCCTCAAGCCTGGTGACCTATATGATCAAACAAGAGGAAAACTGGTCAGCTGTTGCAGCTTATGCACAGCACCTTCTGAAAGACAAAATCGCAGAAAGAGACCAATAGCCAGGAGTAGGCATCGTGAGACGCAGCACGGCTGGATTGAA